ATAAATAATTTATCCATTTTTATATATAATTTATCTATTTTAGTAATTATTTGTGCATATTTTATGCTGTGTAATATATGCACACAAAAATTTAATGTGCACATGTGCATATTGTGCATATGAATTTTATACACTGCTATGCTATACTTATATAATATATAGAAGATTTAGAATTGCAATTAAATCAAATAGAGAAAATAAAAAAAAATAAATATTTTTTTTTTATTTTTTTTTAAATTCAATTTAGTTTAATCTAATTATTATATTAAAGAAAATTTATTTCTTATCCAGGTGATTTCTCACTTCATATTCATGTGACCGGCTAATCAATGAATCATGTCAGAGATCTGGATAAGTCACGTTAAATTTTCAATAATAATAAATAAAAAAAATGGCTGCGCATAAAACTCTTTACTTTCTAAGTCACAATGATTCTTTTCTAATAGTAACAAAGTATTTTGTAATGAAAGGTAGAGTTTTATACTATTTGTCTCTGACTTTTTTGCTACTAGAGTTTGAGAAGAGAAGTTGTTTTTTTTTTCAATCTACAAAGGGTTTAAATTTGAAGGATTTTTTTCTTTAAAGATTTAAAGTCTTTTGTTATTTCTCCAACATTTTTTGTTCTTTATATATTTTTTTTAAAGAGAGAAGTTTGAAAGTTATTTTTCTTTGAAGTTCTCTTTACTGGTGTTGACAATTTGCTCCTTTCTTTTGAGTTTTTTTTCTTCAAAGTTTTTTTTCTTTGGAGTTTTTTTTTTCCTCTGAAAATTCTTTTTAATTTCTTTAAAGTTTTCTTGACCAGTGGTATTCCTTAAAGTTCTTTTTTCCTTCAGAGTTTTTTTCTCCCTCCAAAAATTCTTTCTCCAATTTCTTTGACCGGTGGTATTCCAAATTTTTTTTTGAGCTTTTTTTCTCAAAAATTTTTAGTACCACTTTAATATCCATCGCAAATAATAAATAATCACTCTATCTGCTCTAATATTATAAATATGTTTACTTCTGAAGCCTTCATGAAAGATCTTTATTTGCTTGTCAAATATTCGTATTTTTTTACTTTTTATGCCTACGTTAATCATGTTTTGCGATGCTGCACCCTTTATAGAACTCACTAATAATAATACTCTAAATTTAAAGATTATAACGGTGTTTTTCTACCAATCAATACTCTGATTAAAATTGAGTTAGAAACTAAATTTCATTCTATGGAAATTGCAGTACATTTTATAGAACAATATACTCTTCAAAATAACTTTGCCATCTTTAAGCACAAGACTGAAAAATTTTCAGATGGTACTTGTAGAAAAAGGGTATTTAAGTGTAATTTGGGAGAAAGGTATGTTGAAAAACATTCAAGACCAATATTAGGTAAAAAAAAGAGCAAAGGAAGCAAAAAGCAAGGCTGTATGTGGCAAGTAAACATTAATAGATGATCAAATTCACCAATAGCAACTGTAACATCATTTAATAATAAACACAACCATGAGATTTCTATTAAAACTGTGAAATTTTCTACCACTTACAAAAATTTTTCTGAAGAAATCATAAAACAGATAGAATTTTATGTTGTGCATGGCCGATATGATGCAGGAACAATTAGGAACCTCCTTCAACTAAAGTATCCTGATCTTATGTTTCTTACTCAAGACCTAAGGAATGCAATTCAAAGAATTAAACGAAAAAAGGGATTGAATTTAGGGAAAACAGCATCTCTATTAATGAAGCTTCTTGAATTACAAACTAATGATCCCACATAGTTTGTAAAACTATTAATAGATGATACAAGTAACTGATTAGTTGGTATTTTCTGGATGTCACTAGAGCAGCGTGAAAGGTAGACAAAATTTTATGATATCATTATTTACGACAACACTGCAAGAATGAATAAATATAACTATCTGTTAAGTCTCTTCATATTAATCGATAACTATAATAAAAGTAGATTGGCAGCTCAAGCATTCATGCAGGATGAAAGACAAGAATTATACAAATGGTTGCTTTGATGTTATCTTGAAGCATGTGAAATTCCTCCATTAATATTTGCTACTGATGCTGACTCCGCAATGATTGCAGCCATTTCTATAGTATTTTCAGAGACTCATCATATGCAATGTTTATACCATCTCTATCAAATCTTTCAAAAAACCTTCGTTCATGTTTAGAATCATCACTTTATTAGAAATTCCTTAAAGATTTTAAAGAAATTCAACGCTCTTATTGCGAAAATGTATTTGAAAAATAAACTAAAGGGATAGTTGAAAAATATGAAGTGGAAAGCAAATATATAATCACAATGCTATTGAATCGAAAGCATACTTGGATAAAATGCTTTACATCATGACGTTTCATAGCAATAACGCAATTTACACAGCATGTGAAATCAGAAAATGCATTAATAAAAAAGGCCGTGCAGTCAAGTTTTTCTCTTTTACAAGTTCAAGAATCTCTTGAAAATCGGTTGAAATTTAAGTCAATTAACAATCATTATTCAATCTGGAAAGTTTTAACATTACAGTACACACAACCTTTCGTCATACAAATATTCTTTAGTAGTATTGATAGTATCATAAATAAATATCTCACACAGCCGATTCACGATACATATTATAAACAAATGTGTCAATCTGTATGCTATCATGCACATCAAGTATAATTTTCTGAAATTTCAGTATCAGATGATGGTTTATTTGAACCTTTCTTTGATAAAATAGAAGATTCTGCCAAATCTCTTATTGAAACTGATGAAGATTGGGAGCTTAACTTGAAGTCTTTGATTTCAATGATTAGTTTTAACGATATTTTAGAAGTTTGAAAGGTTTCTCGATACAATTACCTGAAATGCTATCAACATGTAATTTTACTTAATACTGAAGAATACTTATGCACTTGTTTTATGCTTGTCACTCATAGTATTATATGCAGGCATTTCTTTAAAGTGTTTGTTGAATCTTCTAATGCATATTTTCATTTGACATTGATTCCTAAGCGTTGGTATAAGAATAAATATATCAATTCAAGTGATACCTGTTCTAGTGAGATAATTATAAGTAATAGCCAAAATGATCAAAATGGTGTGTAAATCACTTTAGAATTTGCCTGAAAATACATCATAAATGATCTTTCAGAAAGGTATTCCAAGCAAATATCATGAAATCAATTAAAATTTGGTACTCTAATAAGCAAAACCAAAAAGGCAATTCAATTTGCAATTCAAAATGATAATGAAGAACTGATTCAATTTATCAAGGATTTTAATAAAAGAAAAGAAGCTTAACTAATTCAAGTAGAATTGATTAAGTAACAAAAAGCTTTAGCAGATAGAAAAATGAATGACAATCAGGTCCTTTGTAATATAAAAGGAGTATTAATTGATTCTAATTAGATCTTGGATCTATTGAAGCGTCAGCCTAAAGGAAGACCATCAATAAAACGGTTAAAGCCATCTGTTGAAAAATCAGATTCAAAAGGCAAAAGTGAAGGCGAACAAGCAATATTTAATAGATGTCATAAGTGTGACTCATGTGGGGAATATGGTTATTATCGTAGCACTTGTTCTAAATGTTAGGTTATAATATTTAATCATGTATTTATAGTGTTAGATCAAAGTGTTGTTTTATTAGTTTCACTTAATAATAGCATGAGACTGTGTTAATCTTATATTAATAGCATGTTTGTGATATTTTGGCTTTAATTGTTACATTTATTTAGTGCAGAATTTAAACAATAAATATTAATAAATGCTATTTTTTTTATAATAATTATTGTTAATAAAAAATGCATACAAAAAAAAATTATAAGGGGTGAAAAATAATTTATTTTACCTAGGGTGAAGAATAAATTTACTCTTTCATTTAATTTTATTGATCATATCATTAGTTGTCATTTTTATCTAATTTATATTATTTTTAAAACTTCAGATTAAATTAATCAAAATACTTAAACAAAAATAAAAATTTAATGCAATTATATTTTTAAAATATTACTGATGATGAAAGAGATATTAAATTTTTTTATATAAAATCCTTTTTTTTAAAAAAAAATTGTTTTTTTAAAAAAAATTTTTAAAAAGAATACTATTTATTTTAAATAATTTACTTTTAAAGAATTTATTTTGCTATATTGATGAGTTATTTTAAAAAATAAAAAATTTTTTTTTAAACTTATTTTATTATGAACTTAAACAAAAAGTATATAAAATTGATTTTATAAAAATTAAATGCAATTTGCTTTATTAATTTATTAATTAAGAAATTTTTAATTATTTTTAAAAATAAATTAAACTAATTATTAACAATTTTCTAATACAATATTTGCATTTCTTATTTTAATTCTTATATAAATATTAATATAAAAAATTATTGAAAAGAAAAAAAGAATGGTTAATACTATTTTAAAAGAAAATTAACATATCTACTCATAAAAAACTTATCACAGTTTACTTAAAGAAAAAGTCTAAGCTGATTTCTAAAAAAAAGAAAAAAAAAATGATTAATACCATTTCAAAGAAAGAACACTTACATACAAATTTACTTAAAGAAAAAATCTAACCTGAATCTTAAAAATGTGAAAAAAAAAAAAGATAACAATATTTCAAAAGAAAGAACATCTATCATAAATTTATAAAACTTATCATAAATCTGCTTAAAAAAAAAATCTATTTTGAATCTTAAAATAAATTAAAAAAAGAACAATTAATATTATTCTAAAAGAAAAATTATCAATCATAATCTATAAAAACTCATTATAAATCTATATGATAAAAAATTCAAACTCAAATCTTAAAAAAAAAATAAAAAAAGAATGATTAATACTATTTTAAAAAAAAAATACCTAATATAATTTATAAAAAACTCACTACAAATACATATGAAAAGAAAGTTTTAATCTGAAATCTTAAAAAAATGAAAAAAGAATGATTAGTACCATTTTGAATAAAGAATTTCACTCATAAAACCTTACCACAGTTCATTTTGAAAAATTCTAAAAATTCAAGTTGATTTTTAAAAAAAAAGAAAAAAAATGATTAGTTTTATTTAAAAAAAATTAATATACTCACATATAAAAACTTACCAAAAGTCTACTTGAAAAGAAATCAGATTATTTTTTTAAAAAAAAAAAAAAAATGTTTAGTACTATTTTAAAAAGAAAGAATTTAACATTTTGCTTTAAAAAAATTAGATCAATTTGGTAATTTGATTAATAAATTTAAAAAATGGTTTTTGCTTTTTTTATTACAAAGAATAGTATATTACAAAAATTTTATTTTTAGATGCTAATCAATTTGATATAACTTATATTGACTCTTTACTATTTTTAGATATTGATCATTTTAGTGTAATATTTACCTTATCTTGATTTTTTATTATATAAATTAACTTTCACTTATAATTGAAAATATAGCTTATATCAAAATATATTCAAATTTAACAAAACTTATTTTTTGTTTTAGGGTAGTTTCTTACCTTTTTATTATAAAAATCCTATTTATTTATTGTTAAATTATAATATCACTCAAATTAAATGAATTTTTAGAATTTTTTTTAAATAAAATTAAGTAGATTACAAATATTTATACAGAATTTTTCATGAAAAAATTTACCAATTTAGAATGTAACTGAGTTTAAAAAATTAATTGAAAGTCACAATATAGATATTAGGAGATTTTTTGTTTTCTAATCTATAAATCTCAAAGGTAAAAGTTTACAAAAATAATAATTATTAAAGTAAAAGTTATGCTGCTATATTATTAACTTATAACAATATACAACAAGCAAGTTAGTAGTACTAAAACTGTAATTAAATTGTTTTTAATTAATTCAAATATATAATAGCTGATAAAAGAAATGCAACAACTTATTTTTAGCTTTAAACGCTTAAAACTTATTAACTACAAATGCTAGAAACGTAATTTTTGATTCATTTTAATCCTTACATTTTGGAAAACATCCTATAAAATTTTTTTTTTTTTTTTTTGAGTGCGGCAGTTTTGTATGATCTTTATTAAATTTATAATATA